GAAAGGCATTCTGAGTTGTGTGAATTTTTAATGTGTAAGTATACTAATACATTAAGAAACAGCAATACTGACAGAAATGCATATGTTGATATAACTTGATTAACCAGAAAACTAATATATATATTTTTTGAGACAGAGTCTTGCTCTGTTGCCCAAGTTGCTGGAGTATAGTGAGCTGATCACAGCTCACTGAAACCTTGAACTCCTGGCCTCAAATGATCCTCCTCCCTCAGTCTCCCAAGTAGTTAGGACTACAAGCATGCGTCACCATGCCTGGCTAATTTTTAAATGTTTTACAGACATGGGGTCTCGCTATGTTGCCCAGGCTGATCTTGAACTCCTGGCCTCAAGTGATCCTCTCTCATCAGCCTCCCAAAGTGCTGGGATTGAAGATGTGAGCCACTGTTCCCGGCAAAAAGCTAAAATTTTCACTTTTTTTTTTTGACTACACCTTTGCACTACTATAGAACTATTCTCTCAGTTCCTGGTGAAAACAAATTGATTAGTCAGAAATTCAGGCTGAGTCACTGATTTACCCATTCCAAAAACATTTGGTGAGTGTTTAATGTGTACAAGGCATTATGCTAGATACTAGAGATACAGTAGTGAGTAAGTGTGAATAAGATATGGTTCCTGTCCTCATGGAGTTTACTGTTTACTGAGGGAGAGAGACAATATAAAGCAAACAAATAATTGTAAAATAATTGCAAACTATGATAGGTGCTCTGAAAGAAAAAAAGAGAATGCTGTGAGAGAGAATAAAAAAGAGAGTCACCTTAAATGAAACGGTCAAGGAATGTATTTATGACATCTTAAAGAGGAGAGTTGAGAGTAGGAGGAAGGAAACATTCCAAGCAGGGAGAACAGTCTGAGGCATGAATAGATATGTTTAAGGAACAAAGAGAAAGCTAGTGCGGAAGTAGTGTGATCAATTGGGACTGTGCCAAGTGATGTTCAACAATCTTTTCACAAGGTATAAAGGTAGAAATCAAAATCCTAGAGCAGGAGTTGGCAAACTATGACCTGCAGGCCAAATCCATTCTGTCTCCTAGTTTCATAAAGTTTTATTGGAACACAGCTGTGCCTATAAATTTACATCTTGTCTATGGCTGCTTTCGTGCTATAAGTAATAGTTGCCACAGAGATCACACAGCCTGCAAAGCCTAAACTATTTGCTATCTGGCTATTTACAGAACAAGTTTGCTGGCCCCTATACTAGACTATGGACTAAATTAGAATGGACAGCATGAAAGTTGAAAGGTTAGGGTTGGCCGGGTGCGGTGGCTCACACCTGTAATCCTAGCACTCTGGGAGGCTGAAGCAGGCAGATTGCTCGAGGGCAGGAGTTCAAAACCAGCTTGAGCAAGAGCGAGACCCATCTCTATTATAAATACAAAGAAATTAATTGGCCAACTAATACATATAGAAAAAATTAGCCGGGCATGGTGGCGCATGCCTATAGTCCCAGCTACTCGGGAGGCTGAGGCAGTAAGTAGGATTGCTTGAGCTCAGGAGTTTGAGGTTGCTGTGAGCTAGGCTGACGCCAGGGCACTCACTCTAGCCTGGGCAACAAAGCAAGACTCTGTCTCAAAAAAAAAAGGTTCGGCTTTTTTTAAAGCATAGAACCAACCTTTAAAACTGGTCAGTGATTGATTCAAATGAGAAAGATACATGAAGATCAGCAGGTCAATGTGGTGGAGGTAGGGCTTTGAGATGTCCATGCCACATGGTAGAAGAAATGTCTTTAAGGTTAGTACATGGTTGCATAAAGTACAAGGGCCAAACAGAGAAGAGAATTGCCTTCTTCATCCAAGGGAGTCAGCAACCTGGACAAGCCCCAAGAATAGTATACCTACAGAATGAAAATGTAGTTCAGCTTAGAAATATAGGAGGACTTATGTACAGAGAAACCAGATTCTAAGTAGTACAGAGGACAGCTCTAAGCACTGCTAACACATATTTATTATGGGTAAGAGTTTGGGTATATTTGGTTAGCATCTATTCCAGCAATCAACAAAGGTAGGGCTATGAATTAAAATAAACTCTGTAAAGGTACTTTAACAAAATTAAGCCACTCTTTTATAGACTAGAAGTCAGCCTGGTAGACTGTGATTATACCTGACTCATAGATGTTTTGTTTGGCTTACAGTTTCTTAGGAAACTTCACTTATAAAAAATCTACATCGTATGGCTGGCAGTGGGCCAAGGTATGAGGATTGCTTGAGGCCAGGAGTTCAAGACCAGCCTGGGTAATAGTGAGACTCCATTTCCACAAAAAATATAAAAATTAGCCAGGCATGGTAGCACACACCTGTAGTCCCAGCTACTCAGAAGGCTGAGGCAGGAAGATTGCTCACGCCTATAAATTTGAGGTTGCAATGAGCTATGATGATGCTACTGCACTCTAGCCTGAGCAACAGAGGGAGACCCTGTCTCAAAAACAAAACAAAACAAAACAAAACAAAAAACCAAACAAAAACAAACAACCCCTCCTCACAAAACAACCACATATTTAGCAAATAAGACCCATTTCATTTCATTTCCATATGGAAATAATCAGCTAGGGTTGAGAAGCACAAAGGTACCTTGTAGATAAGGCAAGTATTCCCAGTTTCCTACAGCCCCCACTACTTCCTATTAACTTACATTCAACCTGACCTTGACTTATTAAACTTTTTAACCTACTGTTATGATTTGAATGTGTCCCCTCCAAAATTCAGGTGTTGAAATTTAATGGGCAATGTAATGGTATAAACAAGTGAGGCCTTTAAGAGGTAATTAGGCCATGAGGGCTCCTCCTTGGTGAGTGGGATTAACGCTCTTTTGAGGCTTTGTGCAGCCTTCAGCCTGCTTGTCCTTCTGCCTTCTACCAGTGAAGACATGGTGTTCCTCCTCTCAGGAAGATGCAGCCCTTACCAGACAACCAAACCTGCCTTGGTCTTGTACTTTCCAGCCTCCATAACTGTGATAAAATAAATTTCTATTGCTTATAAACTACCTAGTCTCAGGTATTTTGTTACAGCAGCACAAAATGGACTAAGACATTTACCAAGATATTTGACATTTAAGTTTGTAACCTCTGGTTTTCATCTTAAAGATCATAAACCTGAACTTTATATACTTTTTTTCAACGTACATTTATTGAGCTCTGACCATGCCCCAGATACTATGCATATGAACATAAATAACAAATTATTCCTGTCTTCGAGGAGCTCACAGGCTACAAGCAGAGAACAATATGTTCAATAATCCTTGGAAGAATGATGATGGTGCAAAGGAATGATCAACTCTAACTAGGCAGATCAGGAAACATGCTACTAGGGAGATGCTTGACCTAAATCTTGAACAATAAGTAGAACTTTGCTAGGGTTTACCAGGCAGAGGAAACAGAATGTATCCATAGTTCATAACAGATGAATAGGGGAGTGAGAGAGGAGCACCAGGGTTATACAAAGAATGGTGTGTACATCACACTAAAAAGTGTGACTTTTGTTCTATATGCAATAGGGGATTACTAAAGGGATTTGAAGCATAATCAAGTTTGTATTCTAGAAACATAAATTTAGTAGCAACATGGAGGATAGTTTAGAAGATAGAGGTCTGGAGACAGGAAGATCAATTAGGAAGGAAATCACTGACAAGATGCAAGCTGCTTTGAGGCCTGAAGCAGCAGTGGGAATGGAGAAGAGAAATTGACTAGAGATGGTGATGGACTGAATGTGGAGAGTGAGGAGAAAAAAGAAGTCAAAGAAGATTTACATGTTTGTAGCTTGAAGGACAAAGTAAAGTGGATAAGGAATGTAGGAGAATGATACTGAGAGGGTGAGAACGGGTGGCATAAAGTTTGAGAGATCTGGGCATGAGGATATGAACCAGGAATTAGGAGTAAGGTCAGGGCACGATAGAAAGACTTGGGAATTCTCCACATTTATGAGATAACTCAAGATATTGTGATGAAAAATATCACACAGAACTATGAAGAGTGAGATAAAGACCAATGCACACCCCCAAGAATTTCAACAGTTAAACAGAAGAAAGAGGACAATGCTTGGCAGCCTGGATGCAGAAAAGCACATAGTTGTAATGAGGTTAGGAGTTAGCAGCATAGACAGAGATGAACAGAATTAGAGTGTGAGAAATTGAGGTGCTTGCAAATGTTTGATACAAATATTAATAATATATCACAGGTTCTAAGTTGGATAGGGAAAAAAGCATAGAAGGGATGGATTAGTGAAGGGTTGTCAGATTTACTAGGGGTGGGAAAAAGGACACCCAGTTAAACCTGAATTTCAGATCAACAAAGAATAGGCTTTTTTTGGTTTGTTTTTAGTGTAACTATGTTCCAAATTGTATAAGGCATACTTGTACTCAATACTTATTCACTGTTTATCTGAAATTCAAATTTAACTGGAATCCTGTATTTATCTGGCAATCATAATGTGAAAAAGAATGACGAAGAGGCCATCTTCTGACTTGACTTCTTTTCCCACCCAGTCTTTAGACCTTCTGATTTCATGTGAGATCTGAATTCAATTAAATTCGTATTTGCTTCAGTTACAACTATATTGCAACCCATCTCCTCACATTACTTATCTTCTAAGCTAAAAATCAAAACAGCTTCCAAACATCGAACATGCAGGGTGCTAACTAAACGCTAAAATACAAAAGTTGAAAAAAAAAAATCTTGCTTTCAAACCTCTATAAACACTGCCATCGGATTTTTCCTTGCGAGACTAAGTTACAATAATTATAATAAAATTAAAGTCGTTAAGGGTCCAATCATAATTGTTCAAATAAGTCTCCAAACCCAGGGAGAGTCTTACCTTCAAGCTCTAAATCCGAAAGTTCTAGGCTTGCAGGAAGTTATCTCCCTCAAAGCTTAGAGTTCAAGGTCTTAGTAATAGGAACATATCTTGTCACCACACCAAATGATTTTGAGCACCTTCCATCAATCGACTACCAACTAACAAAAGGAAGGATTTAATTCCCAGCAAATTTTCTCCTGAGCTGAGCATCCCAGAAATCCGGCTTTCTGAACGGGAAGAGGCAGGGAGAGACCAAACGCACCCCAGAGAAAAAGTGAAAGTAGAACCAGACGAAGTCTTCAAGGCAGAGACGGTCGCTACCTCGGCCAGCGCAGATTTTGAGGTCCGCAGTGGGGGTTCTTCCCAGACATCCACAGTGCACCGAGTTCAAGCGGGCACCACTTGGAAGACGCCCCCCTCAGTTCGCTGAGCCACTAGCCGCGCCTCGCGGAACTCTGACCTCCAAAGAGGCTCCGCTTGGCGATCCCGCCCCGTCGCCTCATATTCGCGCCTTTGATTGGTTCCTAGAATGGATCCCTCAGCGTGGCTCACCCAATGGAGGCCCCGGCCGGTAGCCCAGCCGCTCCGCCCCTTCCCTACCCCTCGCGGAGGGCCCGCCCCCTGCCCCGCACCGGGGAGCGGAGGAGAGTAAATACAACAGGAGCGCAAAATGGCGGAGCCCCCGAGCCCAGTGCGCGGCGCCGCCGCTGCCGCCGCCGCCTCGGAGAAAGAACCGTTCGTCAAGCTGCAGCCTTCCTCCCGAGACGTGCCTGGTTCTCTGTCCGCTAAGAAGGTTAGGACTGAGGAGAAGAAGACGCCACGGAGAGTGAACGGAGAAGGAGGCAGCGGCGGGAACAGCAGGCAGCTGCAGCCGCCGGCAGCACCTTCGCCTCAGAGCTATGGCAGCCCTGCGTCTTGGAGCTTCTCTGCTCTGTCGGCTGCCCCCTCCCCGTGCTCTTCTCGGAGCAGTTTCTCTTTCTCCGTTGGCACAGCCGTTCCCTCGTCAGCCTCCGCTTCCTTGTCTCAGCCAGTGCCGCGCAAACTGCTGGTCCCTCCTACGCTGCTGCACGCTCAGCCTCACCATCTCCTGCTGCCGGCCGCCGCTTCCTCGGCCAACGCCAAGACGCGCAGACCGAAGGAGAAGCGGGAGAAGGAGAAGAGGAGGCATGGCCTCGGTGAGGCCAGCGGGGCTGTCCGGGAGGAGAACGGCGAGGTGAAGCAGCCGGCGCGAGGTGGGTGCTGGCGCCGAGAGGGGGAGGGGAGGGCGCCCGGGGTCCCCGCCGCGTCTCGCGCCCGAGGGGCCCGGGAAGGGGGAGCGCGGCGGCCGCGTGCGCCAGCCTGGAGGGGGCGGGAGGCGTCCGGTTCTCAGCAGGCGATTTTGCAGTCCCCAAGGGGACAGGAAATGGAGCCTGTAATTGCGGTCGCGGAGAGGGCAATGGCCGAAACTCTTTTTTTCCATACGTTTCTTCCTTCCAGTTAATGCGCTGCAGGATTTGTAGACATCAATGTAGAGGACCCTTCTAGGTGTGTTTGGCTAGAGAGGGAGATAGAAGGGAAAGGGATGGGAGAAAGGTTTGATCTTGTAAACGATGCTTGTTTGATTATTAGACCGTTTAGACGTGATCTTGGGAATTCATATTTGTGACATAGTCTCCAACACCAGAAAATCCTGTCAAAAAAGGGGTGTGGAGAGCTTTGGCGTCAGCTGGAAGCTACCAGAGGCCCGAGCATTTTATTCCTAGTAGGAAAATGAGGCAGTGTGCAGGGCCCAAACGAAGTGTGCTGTTTCTTAAGGTACCGTCACTTCACCGTCCGCTCCGCTCCGCTCCATATTCTTGTGTTTTGAATGGTCTTATTTGAAATACCACCCTAAGAAAGATTTTTCAGCCATATTCTTTTTTACTGCCGCAAATGATAAAACCAGGAGCTTTCACCTTTTTTTTTTCCTCCCAAATCAAGTGGCTGTAAAATGTTGTAGCATCAGAAAAAGGCTAATTCTTGAGCGTCCTTTTCAGACACGGTCAGTTTTCTTTTTAAATGTAGGCTAGTCATAGAATTTTTCAGATAGTATTACTTTAAAATTAGGTGTTCCTATCATTTTACTATGGATCTTCATGCGGTCACAAGCTTAAAGCCTATTATCTTTATTGTAAATCTACATTGCTATACAGTGTTGTCAAAGTCTTTTTTGTTATTTAGGAAAAAATGAAATGTCAGTTTTAGTAGTGCTGACCTAATAATAGCTTAGATCACGAAAAATTCTGTTTGAATTGGAATGGTTTATTTTCACAACTTAAAAAAATGCTGCGGGAATGTGTAGCAACTATACTACTTTTTCCTTGATGTTTTTTGCCTGTAGAGCAAAGCTTTGACATTTAAGCGCAGCCATCAGGTGCTCTGAGGCAATGTAAAGATTTGGAGGGTGTTGCTTCCTGGAAAGTGGTTTTTTTTTTTTTTTTTTTTACTCAGCTTAGTCAAGCACAGGAAAGTGGTTTTAAGGATGCAATTTACACTACTTTTACTCAGGAATTTTAAGTGGTTAGTGTTTTAAAGCAATTCGTTTTAATGGTTATATATAAAATTTAAGGGTTAGGTGCCTGGGAGACCATCCATATGCAGCTTGGTATCAGTCCTATTTGTGGTGTGTAAATTGCACATTTGCTCTTAAGTTTTCTGAATGAGGAAGTGAATATGAGTATTACATCACTGGAGTATTGGAATGGCTGAAAAGAAATAAGTAATCAAGCCGGGCGCGGTGGCTCACGCCTGTAATCTTCGCACTCTGGGAGGCTGAGGCGGGTGGATTGCTCGAGGTCAGGAGTTCGAAACCAGCCTGAGCAAGAGCAAGACCCGTCTCTACTATAAATAGAAAGAAATTAATTGGCCAACTAATATATATATATAAAATTAGCCGGGCATGGTGGCGCATGCCTGTAGTCCCAGCTACTCGGGAGGCTGAGGCAGTAGGATTGCTTGAGCCCAGGAGTTTGAGGTTGCTGTGAGCTAGGCTGACGCCAGGGCACTCACTCTAGCCTGGTCAACAAGGGAGACTCTGTCTCAAAAAAAAAAAAAAAAAAGAAATAAGTAATCATTCTTTAAGTCTAACTTAAAAATATGAAGTACACAAATGGCCCATAAGTGAAATGGCTGTTAAAGAGAAATTTTTATGGTCTTTTAAATTACATTTAGAATCCTCCTTTTGAGGAGTATCATTACATTACTAAGCCTGAATATAAGCAATGATAGCTTTTACATTAAGATGTGGGGAAGATGTTTTCCTGTGACTTATGTGGGTTTTTCAAGTAGTGAGACGATATTAACACTATCATAAGTAAGATTTTCATTTTGGGGGACAAAACTGTTTTTTTGAGGAAAAACTAACAAGGAAAAAGATTTGCTTTTCAGTGTCTTGATAAATTTAATGGTGAAAATCTTTCCTTCTTGGGAAGTACTCAAATGCTTCTAAAGTTTGGATTTAACTGAGTTGAAGTTCTAGTTTAACCAATTAAGATTCTTAAATAGCGGTATTAAAATTGCAAGAATACCCTTATTATAGATATAATTGAAAATGTAGAAGTCCTGATTTGTGATACGATGTTCATTTTGCTGTGCTTTTCGTGAAAACTTTAGTCAGTGGGTGACCAAGTGTCTGTTGTTTTAGATACGTACCTCTTTTTAGTGTGACTCTAAGTTGGCTGTACATAGTTCAGTAACCACCCCTCAGTTGTACATAGCTGATTAAACAATCTGAGTCAGAACCGGAAGTTTGCCATAAAGACATCTAAATAAGGAAAATAGATTCTCCCTCAACAAAACAAAACTCACACACACCTAAAAGATCTGCACCTCCCACTCCATTAAACGATTAAGCTCTTTTATTTATTTGTAGTAGTTTTTTTTTTTAAAGTTCTTAGTACTGCTTTATTTTTACATTGGTGACCATTCTAACAGAAAGTATTTGAACTAAATGAAAGCATATACATGAAAGGACCTGGCAGAGTATTTAGTAAATGCCATTTGAATCTGAAGTATACTTATTAATTTTTTAAACTCCATAACAAATTTAAAGATAGGTCAATCCTGATAGAGGAAGGATCATTGACAATAAATAGCTTTGGAGTTGAGTGATGAGCAAGAGAATTACTTTCATAAACTGGGCAAGCTAATAACAGGGCTTCATGCCTTATACACCTAAAATCTCTAGGGCCATCTGGTCATAGTGCTGTACTTCACTTGCATGATAGCTTGAGTCATTAAGTAAAAATTAAATTTATTTCTTACAAAAAGAAAAAGTGCAAAACATTTTAGATTTTTAAAACTAGAAAATAACCAGGTTTTGGTGCTTATAGAAGTAACTGCTGAGGAGTAACCAATTTTCCTATAAGACTGAATAAATTATTAAGTTGATAAAAGTGGACATGTACATTTATGATTATATTTGTATGTAACATTTATGATTATATTATGGCAAACAACAGAACAAACATAACATTAGATATCAGTGTGCCTTAACCATTTCCAGTAACCAATAAAATTTGTATAGATTTTCTAATTGTAGTTAGTGTTCTTGCTTTGCATTTAACTTTTGTTCCCTTAGAATGACCCTGTGAAATATTCCAAGACAAAACTGGAACATTTCCCTGAATTTTTGCTGTGAAAGTGTAGTTACAGAATTTAACTCTAATGGAAAATAGAAGATTTTCTTAGAATCGAATAATTTGAGGTATGTAAATGTCAGTGATTTTATTGATTTATTTTATTTTTTAGAGACAGGCTCTTGCTCTCTTGCCCATGTTGGAGTGTAGTGGCATGATCATAGCTCACTGCAGCCTCAAACTTCCAGGCTCAAGCCAACCTCCCACCTCAGCCTCCCAAGTAGCAGGGACTACAAGTGTGTGCCACCATGCCTGGCTAATTTATTTTATTTTTAATTTTTGTTTACTTTTTGTTTGAGACAGTTTCTCACTCTGTTGCCTAGGCTAGAGTGCAGTGGAGTCGTCATAGCTCACTATAATCTTGAAATCCTGGGCTCAAATCATCCTCCTGCCTCAGTCTCTAGAGTGGTTGGGACTATAGGTGGCATGCACCACCATGCCTGGCTAATTTTTGTACTTTTTGTAGAGGGGTCTCACTGTGTTGCCCATGCTGGTCTTGAATTCCAGGCCTCAAGTGATCCTCCTGCTTTGGTCTCCTAAAGTGCTAGGATTATAGGAGTGAGCTCCTGTACCCGGCCATTGTCAGTAATTTTTTTTTTTTTTTTGGTTTTTGAGACAGAGTCTCGCTTGTTGCCCAGGCTAGAGTGAGTGCCGTGGCATCAGCCTAGCTCACAGCAACCTCAAACTCCTGGGCTCAAGCAATCCTACTGCCTCAGCCTCCCGAGTAGCTGGGACTACAGGCATGCGCCACCATGCCCGGCTAATTTTATATATATATATTAGTTGGCCAATTAATTTCTTTCTATTTTTATAGTAGAGACAGGGTCTCGCTCAGGCTGGTTTTGAACTCCTGACCTTGAGCAATCCGCCCGCCTCGGCCTACCAGAGTGCTAGGATTACAAGCGTGAGCCACCACGCCCGGCCTATTGTCAGTAATTTTAAAGGGATGAATATTTAAAGATTTTTCGAAGTACACTCTCTTGCATGTTTATAATATTGTTACTCCACAATTTTAGGTTAAATTTATATTCAGACTTTTCATCATATGACCAAGTATTTGTCACTGTTGAGAGAATAGTTTACTGTGATTTCATTTTCTTGTATAACCTTTTGTTTTTCATGCCTCATTTTTTTCATTTGCTTAGTTTTCTCTGGCAAAGTCTTTCTGTACCCTCCAGCAGCTCCATAAAATGCTTCTCAGTGCAATTTTCCACATGGGCAGATCTGTCAGATAAACTTATCAGTTCCATTTGTTCCTGTAGACATCCCTTCTGTACTGTCCTTCCTGCTTCAGCCTGGATTATTTCCTCTTTATGCCTGCTGTGTATGGCTGTCATCTTAGGACTTCCCTTAGCTGACATTCTGGGAATTTCTTTCACTTCTGTTGAATTTTTTTTCTAGATACCATGCCTTCCTTTTAGTTATTCCCTTATTTTGGTTTCCTCTACTAATACCATGAAAGAGTGAGTGGGAAGTATATTTTCTTTGGATTTTATTTTTACTGTTACACTTGACTGGGTGTTGAGAGATATGTATATTGGAAATTATTTTCGCTCAAAAGTTTGAAGGTAGTGTTC